TTGCGACAACAATTCACAATGAACTACTGAAACTTGAAAAAAACAGAGCTATTCAAAGAATATTTCTTTGTATAGTCAAAATCGTAAGCATTAAATTGCACGTACCGACTCATCCGATGAAGAATTCGACCACTGGTCAAGAGGTTTCCTAGCAACTACGAGAAATAAATGATTTCCAGATGACTCAATGAGATTTTCCACAGCATTCAAAGTGGCTCCAAGAACAATCTGGTGATTTACCTGCAAGAATAATTACATAGTACGCTGCAATATTGTATACTTGCTGTAATGCTTTCCCAGAATACTCTCTACAGGGGCTAATCTGAATATATCGCTAAATAATCCCACCAATTTATATATAACATAATGCCAGATAAATTGGTATAATATACAACTGCGCATCTAGATCATTAACAATTACCACGAGAACCCTGGTTAATATGCAACTGCTAAGAGCAAACGACACCTAGCTTCATAATGTGCGATGTTATCGCTTTCTCTGTGAGGTGTGATTGATTCATTAAAAATATCTAAGACGCAAATGGTTGAAAACGAGATAACCACGAGACTTGTTTTTCTCCCCATCAATATTATTCCGTTCTCACCTGTCATGGCGTCTACTGTCGACTATTTGAGAGGTAATTGCAAGTCTCGTGGTTGTTTCGCTGTTAGTGAGATCTTGGCGACCATTTGCGGCCAACGACTATTGCAACCTACCTCCATTATACAGTCATCCTTCATTAGTTTACTGTCAATGGCTGGGCTGCGTTTACTGATATGATGTACAGTAATATGTGGTGGGTTGCCTGCATCATGTATATGAGAAGGTGATGCAATGGTGGTTACGATCTTCTGTTTCAACTGAATGCCCCAACTCTCTCTGGGAGTTCTTAACACGTGGACGTGAATGATTGTGTTTCCATCGAGCTGATCGTAAAGTCCATGCAGTGGCAACTGCAGTTTGGCTTTGTGTTCTGTAGTTAATATTTGGTCAGGCCTCACTGAAACAGAGTGAGTTATAGATCTTGTTCTTACACACCGAGTAGGATCTGTGTGCAAGGGATTGCAGGTGTTATCATGGTGCTTTGGTGGACTAGTGGAGCAGACGTGGTCATGTTCTTCAGTGTTTAGTGGGAACGTTCCATTTGGTGTACGCACCCTGACAATGTCAGCAATGCTTCGTTTAACATCATCGAAAACAGCTTTCAAAGATTCACTCTCTATTGTGTAGGATTCATTGTGCATGGTCTCAGATTCTCTGCATTTCTCGTCACTGGACTCACCCGAGATTAGTGACACGTCAAGTGGTATGTTAGGCTTGGAGAATTCGCGTGCTTCTTCTGGCTTCAGTGTTGGTACTCGGGTTGGGAGGCTTATTCTCCTCTGTTTAACTATGTCTCTGTCCCGGTTCATATTGAAATTTGGTTTAATAGGTGTAGAGTATCTTCGACTCCTTCCAGATGTTAACTCTGTTCTTCCAATCTCTGGATATTTACTCACTCCATATTTTCTGTGAATAGGAAAAATGTCTACATATCTTGCCGCACTATGTTCCTTGGCTGAAGATGCGGGCATCTGCTGGCAAATTCTATGTCCTGTTATTTTTGAATGCAAAGCTGTGGAACGGGAATCTTTTGTAGCACTGGACACACTATTGGAACTAAAGGACAATTGTATCTCATTGTTGCTTTCGGATGAACTGATAGTATTCATATTACTATCGTCCTGGAGTATGCAAGGGTTATTATCATGGCTTAAATCGTAATCGCTCTCAGATTTATGTTTTCCACATCCAGCATATTGTGTATACCCTTTTACATTTTCTTCAGTTATTGTTTCAAGATCAGTATCACTTGTATCATAGTAGTATGGAGTGATATTACAATGACAGTGCTCATCACTGGGATAATTAATGCTGAAACTATGGGAATCATGTGTTCCCATTTTATTGTAGTTACCCAATGATGTCTCATCCAATGCAAACGCTTTTGATTCTGCTGGTAACACGTTGTTAGATCTGTGATTATGAAACTTTCCTGAATTTTTGGACAACTGTGTAATGTTCTCACTTCCATTGTCATCCATAGTGGTCACGTGATACGCGATGTTGCTATTTACACTGTGAATTACACGAGAATCATATTCTGATGTCTCTTCTGGGTTTGAGTCAGAAAGCCCACTGAATGATGTATTTGTTGACATTGACACTGAATTATTTAATCCAGTATTAATACAATGATCTTCAATCTCGTGGTATTCATTTGAGACTGAACCATGATACTGTAATACTTTAACTTCATGTGAGCTCGCACCTGTTAGCCTATCAGAACAAAAATATTACTGAAGTATATAGAAACGGCTAGTGGCAATATCAATTTGCAGGCAAACATGCATGGTATTCAAGTATTAGATACATTGGATCCACCACAAATCGTACATGGTGTATATGCCATGTTGGTTAGTCTACTAATATTAATAGTTCATAGTATGATGCAGGTTACTCCCATAAAATCTATGAATCATCTCAAGATAACTTTCATAATCATAATATCAGCAATTATTTAAAAATAATGTGATTTTCTTTTGCATTTGTTGTCAAAATTAGAAGATTTAAATGAGTACAATCCTGGTGTACGTAATTTTTCAATTTTGCATCGTTTTTTCTAAAACAAATGAAGACTATCATTCAAAAATCCTGTGGCAATTTCATCGGGGCACAGAGAGTGAGTAAGCGCACATTAATGAATACATTGTTAATTCATCAACACTCAGATGATTTATTCTGCTATAAAATTATGTTGTGACATATATTCCTTCTTATATCCAAGCTTTTTGAAATATGTACACCTTGCCATATATACAACTCGAGTAATGATTACAACTAGCTTAAATACAGTTCTACTAATTTTAATATTTTTATCTCTGTGTAACAGCAATCCATCTATGAATCATTGAATGATACAGCCAGCCAAAGCTGTTAGTATAATTGGACATGTTTAAATAAGTAAACTGCAAGGTGAACTTTCTATTGAACTTAATAGTTTCAGTCACCTGTCGTCGGTTTTCAATACCACCATAACAATTACAACACTACAGTCATTTTGCTTATTTGAGTATTTCACATGGAACGAATTTAAATCACAGTTCTTGCGCAAAGAAGCATAAATTACACCACGAATTCCGTGATACTACATTACTCACAGTGTCTCATCATCGATGAGTGGACCATCACTGTCAGTGTCACTTGACGGCTCTGGTTTGCCATCAAGACAACCAATCCAGTCTGGAGCATCTATTGCAAGCAAAGCAACCGTTGTTGTTATCCCCTCTAGATTGGCCCCTTCTCTCTGTGAATCTTCTATGGACATTGTAAAGCGTTCACTGAGATGTTAACTCGTTATAGATGTGCGGTGATTTAGCTGACTCTGTATAGTATGATTGTATCTGTTTGGCAGCACATTGTGGAAAGTCTGTTTAAGTCACAGCTACGTTCTTATCAACCGGGTTCGCAATTACACACGGGTGAGCAATAACCTGCATGGTAGATCTGTAAATATTAGGTCTACGTGGCCAGTTGTTAAATATTAACTATTGCTTAAGTCAATAGAGCGTGTGTTCCCACATACATAACATTAACGATGCTAACTTAAAACTCTATCAAAGTTGAGCTGCCAAATATTCATTCCTTACATCTGATTTAAACTGTACAAACTCGACATTTGAAAGGTCAGATATTAAACCTTATAAAAAGTTGGCGAAATAATACAATAATTGTTTTGTCTGGTTTTACAGGTTTTTCAATACATTTTTAAAAAGTATTGTAACATTAAACGTGTATATACTATCTTTAGGTAGATTGGGCCAACATCGGCAGTGATCATGATATAATAACGCCAAACATGAGTGGTATTATTGAAGTGTTTGCTCTCGTTTAGTGGGATTGGACGCTGATGCATTTTAAAACTAGTGCCCATTGAAACTCTGTCTAGTTTGCAGTGCATAAAACTATCATATCCACCACTCGATATCCTCATCAAGAATTAATGCTAAGCAGCAAAGTAAAACTGTGTAGCCTGTTGGGGCAAAGGCCTAAGTATCGTATTGCACAAAAATAATGTTGGACTTACTTACATAAAATCAGTTGGTGTTGGTAATCAAGAACTGCTTTAATGTTTAATGGCCTGAGCCATTTATAAAAACAAACATTTCACACGTATAGTTGTGGCAGTAATACCATGATAATTTATGTCTATAAAAATATAGTAGCATTTATTTCAACAACGTTTTATGTGAAAGTATCTAAATAATCTAACAATAGTGAAAACATATTTGCATCTCTGTTGTTCGACAATATATATATATAGAACTCATACTGTAAATATGGTGTATTGATTTCTACCAAATTTCAAGGAGTTGAATTTTTTTTAATGCAGCAAATCAAAATTTAACTACATAATGCTTATTTATTGCTCGTATATTTACACTTCATGTTGCATATACACGTGGCAGGGACTCCTGCATGTGTCAATGAGAGGATGTGACCAAAGCTGATGTTGTATATGCACTCATATGTCGCCTGGATACAAACAACGTCCATGACCAAACGGCCTATATGTTTACCTATAGAATTTAGAGTTCATAGACAAATCCAACAAACCAACATTTATGTATCAGAATCATGCCCAAAATTGAGTTATCGCCAAGATGTTGCCAGACTGTTATTTTGATTTTGACACGCAAGACATGTATTTGTTTGCTTAGTTGAGTTTCACAGTTAAAATGTGGTACACACTTTTATCAATTATTATAAATTTTATATAATTTAAAGTAAGTAATTTATCATCTCAATAATAATAAAAATGTGACTGCAATCAAGAGAACTGTGCTTATTGGAAATAAAATGTTGTACCCGCAACATGTGCTTATAGTCAGAACTTAAAGTCTTTTCAGTCAATCAAACGAACTAGGCCTGTCTCAGGATGATATGTAACACTTGCTGCTTAGGAAGAGAACTGATTATGTTTTATTCTCAACATGTGCTTATAGTCAGAAGTTAAATTAATTGCAGCATATGCTTCATGCGTCAATTTCCTCCACGTCTTCGTGTACTTCTTTAAATGGGGATAAGTGTTCAAACCCACTGTTGCGACCAAGTTCGGATTTAAGAGCGTCAATAGTCTTGTCCTTTTCACTTAATTCTTTGACAGCCTGAAAAAGCTGAAACCTCAGCTCGTGCAACCTGCGATCGATTTCTTTGTCAGCTCTGTCGCTGTTGTCAGTAGCAGTTGGCACAGATATGGCGGGTTCATGAATTTGACGATCAGGAGTCTGAAAACAATATATAAAAGTTATACTACAGTATCCTGTATTCGAGAACTGCTTCCCATTTGTGAGGACCACATGGTGTTATTCAACTCAAAAACAGATGTTAATATCCAGTATGTATGTAACAGGTCATGATGATCTATTAAAACGTGATTTTTGCAGTTATATTATAATTTCATCTGTAACTAAACATAGTTGTGAGTGACATTTATCATCTTACATACCATTTGAGATGATTGTACGGATGCAGTTTTTCTAGCAACGAGTAGTTTAAGATCAACAGCCATTCTGTGGGAATCTATGAACTTTTCAACTTCCCTTGGTCGTAAACTGGAGACAGATTTATCATTTACCTGTAACAAATGTAGTACACTAGTCAGTATTTTATAATATCATAAATATGTTTTTTATGAAGTCACTCTGGTGCGTGCAGAATAAAGCGTCTTTTGAATATCAGTACAGCACCGAAATTGCATAAATTTCAGGTATGATCTAAAGTCAGGTATGAATAACCTCACCTGTAAAATTAGATCTCCAATCTGTAAATCACTCTGCCTGCCAATAAGGTTCCTTCCAAGTTCAGCGACGCATACAAAACCTCCAGCATCTTCAGTGTCTGTATCTGATTCAGTCTCCATCGATGACTCAGATGTAGTTGATGACTGATAAACTGACCTTCTAGTTGGCCTTTGAGAAGATGTTACAGAAGACACAGTCAGGCGAATTCCCCAGCCTCTGTGTGCACCATTCAGGTGTCGTCTCAAGACAACAACATTGAGAATGGTGTATCCATGTAGAGTTTCTAGGATTGGTTTCAAAGATGAATGATAAGTATCAAAATGAGGCAGAGATTGACACTTCTTGATTGTTGATTTCTCAAATGGTCGCACCATCGGAATTGGACGTTTTTGAAGGACAGGTTGTCTGGAGATTTTGATTGGCTTACGAGGTCCCTCACAAATGTCAACTACTTGTTCATTGGCATATTTAATATCCTGATGCTGGTTCCCAGATTCGAATGTTTTGACAGGCATTGTCGAACACCGTGGCCGAAAACCAGATTGAGGCATCCCTGTTGAGTTTTGCCGTGCGATTGTGGCCACCTGTGTTGAATTTACAATATGAGACTCTCTTGGCTGGACGCCATCAGAACACCTCAATCCTGTCCTTGGATCTGTATTTATGTTATGCATTTTCTGTGAAAAGTCTGTGTAGCATGATCTAGGACGGACTTTTTCGTTTGGTATATGTTTTCTGTGTACATTAGCTTCAGAAATGTGGTTCTTATTCCGCCTTATTTCCACATGCATATTTGTCTTAGTGAGTGCATTTTGTACATAATGATCTTGACATCCTGGTACAGCTCCTTCAATGGAGTTTGAAGGCAGTGAGTTTGTTCTGTCCACTGTATAATGTCTCATGTCAGATTCTACGGAAGATGTTACTGATGGCACTCTTTCAATAGCTCCCAATGACAGTGATTGTGTCCTGTCCACTGTATAATGCTGTCTCTTGTCATCTTCCACAGAAGATGCTGCGGATAAATAATTATGTATAGGTTGTCTTGTCCGGGCATTTTCTGGATGTGGGTGATACACTGTGGAAAAGTTTGTTTTAGAGTAACTTGTAGCGTAATGGTCATTTCTGGTTACCGGAGGTGCCTTGTTTTGATCCAAATGCGAGAAAGACTTACTGCAACAGTAAAAAAATGTATAGTTAGAAGATTTTCCGCAGCTCACGTTTATAATTACAGTTTTTTATTATTATTTTTTAATTTTGTATTGTTCAAATTGCTTGATAATAATTAGTCTTTTGTCTAAAATAAAATGTTAATGTTGTTTTCTGATGAAGAATGACCAAATTGATTATGATATAACGTAAACTAAAATACTGTTTTTGAAACATACACAGTATTTGAAAATTTGAAGAATAAAAGACATCATCAAATCAGCTTATCTTTTCGGGTTGCTTGACTGTTGTAAGATCAGAAAATACTTCACCATAATAACGAGGCTACAGTACATAGGTTTACAACCCGTGAATTTATTTAAAATTGCCACAGTGAGTGGGAGAGATGGCAACCGAACGGTCGCAATGCCTATGAAATAACTGAAAACATCTGTGTGAAATGATTCATATTCATAATGAATGCATTGTAATACAAACAACAACAAAAAGCAATAACGATATATTGGATGGCATGAATCGGAAATGATAGTATTGGTCGTGAGCAAATAGCATTGGAGGTAATAAACCAAGCCTAATGAAAGAAAAATGGAACATAACTTTCAACAAGTAATTTCACATGAAATATGAATAAACATATATGTATCATTTATAATTACTCAACTTACCTGTTTTTCATACATTCTTGTTTCTCTATTTGCATGGCAGTCTTCTTCGGAGCTATGGGATCACCCTTTTTGACGTATTGGTGACATTTTCTTAAGTGACCATTAGTACCTTCTGTAGAAGTATATGGGGTGTAGTGGGCATTGACAGGTTGGGATGTATTGACCCATCGTTTAATGTATTGTTCTTTCTGCATCTTTACCATGGCAATGTGTATTTTATCTTCCCGTCTTTCATAGTTTTCCTGTGGAATAAAATTACGGTAGAATTTATATAATTTTGATGGATTTTTGCTGAGCGTATAATGTGAAGAAGAACAACTATATCTTAAAATAGTATTTCAATCTTTGTTGTTCAATATATTAAATATAACTTCTTACATCACATCGACATTCACATTATATAGGCAAAGGGAAAATGCATGTTCAAGAACACAAAACATGGTCAAAACCGGAAGAAGAAATACAATATTCCCCGTTTTTTGCAATGAATATATCTTTGTTGGTTACAAGGTTTGATCCATGTATAATAACAAAAATGTGACTGAACAACGGCATTAAATTTAAAAAAAGTCTCATTTGAAACAAAGCTGGTTAAAGCTTTACTATTTTTACACTTTTGGGCAAAAACATTTCTTTTTCTCTTACATATATTGTGTATGCCAAGCGTTCTGTTCTATGTTGACGTATTATGTTAATTTAACTAAAAAATATTACCTCGTCCTCTAGACACTTCGACGACTTGTCTCGGCGACGTAACTTGAATGTTTTAGGTCCAGGCGTCTTCTTTGAACAACTCAACGGCAGGTACTCGGCTCTTAGAGGCATGGACGTAACTACAGAATTTAATTGTGGGAAAGGTTGTAAGTAACTATTAAATCGGGAAGGTCGTCACCTGCGCACGCGCGGGAATTGAGTTCCAAGCTATGATAACAACACACGCTAAGATCACAAAGGCTCATGGGTAGACGCTTGTTTGTAAACAATGACAAGCTATGGCCATCTGACGCATGCGCAGGTGACGACTCCCCCGCTTTAAAGTTGATGTTGAACTGAAAAAGCAACTCAAAATACCGTGGGCTTCTCTGTCCTATATGTCTGTCTACCCCGTGACATCGTATACGCAAATAAAACTCGTCTCCAACAAAGCTATTTCCGCTGAATTGTGATTTGAACGAAAAGTGCGCATGTAGGCTGGATGCAGTTTCCATGAACTCTTATTTGAACAGAGGGTAGCACAAATTAAATGACATGACCCATGGACCATCATATAACTAATACTTACAGCCGGTTTCAACTGAATATTCACAGAGTTGAAAATCAGTGGCCTGTTCTTTGCATTTATACTTGAGCAGAGAGAGTCGTACTATTTCTTTGCTGTGTGTGCTTTCACACACATGCATTGTCTTGTACGGCATCTGTGCGTAGAGATTGGAAATAATTGAACTAGTTGTTAATGCGTTAATGTGTCGATCTCAACGGATATTTTGTCTCAATTGCGACTTGCCCACCCTGTCTATCGTGTTCGCAATCTCTTCAATCAGAGAATCTTTTTTTCGCGTAACAAGATAATCAATTCTCTCATCTGCTGCAATTCCAAATCTCGGCTGTCTTGAATTGGTTAGTCGGCATTTGAGAATTTCCATGTCTATGTGCCATACCCTGCTCATGACATGGTACATAAGATCAAAATATTGTCATCGCTGAATATACGACAAATCGACTACAAAATGTACTACGCACATTTACATGTGGTAACCATTACGTGACCATTATTTACTTAGTACATCTTTTGAAAACATCCTTGTTATTATAATTGAACTAGAGTACATTAGATACAACGACGCAATGGACACACCAAGTTAATGCCGCCCTCTAGTGGCGAAGTGCTTCTGTGACGTAACTGGGTGACTTGAAATCTGTTCAAAGCGTCGATATCGTGTTGATCTGTGGCTGTCCATCAATACAAAATTTATTTTCAAGATATGTTATTAAATTCTAGACAATGAATCAAACGACAACACAAGAAAACACGTTTGTCGATTTGAATGACATTGCTTTCACCCATTTTATTTTGACGTCACAGAGGCGCTCCGTCACTTGAGGGCGCAATATATAGAAATTGTGTATTGGGTCGCAGCATGCTTGATTACTATATGTATATGTTGGTACTGTATATTTTGGTGAATGACTGAATTATTCGGTGTTTACTTTGGTGCGTTAAATTTCTTACCTCCGGGTCCAATATCTCGCCGTACACTTTGATAATTGCTCCTCTCTTGATCTTCAAAGAAAATCTTATAAAACAAGCATAAATAAATCGTTTATTTTCTCGTGCAGTGTTTCAGTGTCGGTCTTTGTATCATATATTGCTTCAGTCAGTTGTGGTTGACTGATCCTCGGCAGTATGTACGTTGTCGCATAAAGTGACGATATGTAGACGAGATCGAAAAGTGTTCATCCATGAATTCTACTCTCAGACTGTAGTAATAATGATTTATTACCGAAGGTCAAATAAATATTATTTTGAATACAAATAGTCTGTCTTACCTTGTCGTTTCTGATGGTTGACACATTTGCAGGAGCAATGGCTTTGTGTCGTCTTCCAGTAATATGGCCGTCGAAACATTTGGATCTGCACGTAGGATGAATTGGTATGGTTATTTATTTGTGATTCTGTGGTGTGTACAATTGTGTGAACATGATGAACATGTATCGGCTAATCTGGTTAATGTGTTAATTTGTTAAAATGGGTCGTTCATACACCAATGTGTCATGCGGTGTTCAAGCGGTCTGGCGCCCTCGTATAAGGACAAATGGTGACTTACCTGGTTTTGAGATTCCCGTTTCCATGGTCAGGTAATAAAGATTCGGGTCGTGGGTTTCCAATCTATATTTGTATAACACCATTTTAATCAGGTCTTTGCTGTGTAGTTGAATAATACATGATACTATTAAAACTGCGTACTGCAATGCAAATTAGCAGTATGGCTCCCTTGTACCTGACAGCAGGTGACTTTTCACACGCAATTAGTCCGCCGGGGAAATCTACACAAGTCTAGTTATCCCTTCGTGTGAAATAATGATTCATAGTCTGGTGACGTCATATACTTCACTATATACACTATACTACACTTAATTGAGCGGCTCGTCTGCATGATAGTTTTTTTCAGGAGTGTCAACAGCCGCCAATGTTTAACATGTCTGCCAGTACTAGTCATTCAACCCTGTCAGTTCAACTTCCCAGGCGTGCTCAAATTTAAAATTATAAATACATATATTCAGGTTAATAGAATACAATTTTGCTAGAAACTTAAATGAGATCTAGATTTACTAAAAAAATGCATCAAATTTACCAAAATGCGTTGTGTTTAAACCAAAAAATCCATTTTGGGGTTTTTCTATATTCACATCATAGACACTTTTTTCGACTTTTCTTCGTAGATTTACGAAGGTCACGTTAGTACGCATAAGCCCACGAGGAATTTCGTTTATTTGTCAAACGAATACAACTATGTTCGTTAACAAAACATCGTTTTTATTTTACAATAAACCATACCCTCCTGTTACCCTACCATACTAAACTCAATAATTTAGACATCCACTGTCAATTTACACAAAATAAAACCAACATAATGTTTTCAAATTTCTCTAAAATTTGATAAACAGATGTAACTAATAAACAATACTGTCCGTTTTGTCCAATATTATCGAAAAACATTCTAGAAAAAAGTCGTGAAAATCGAAAATGGTGGAAATTTAAATGATTTTGAATTTATCTCAAAGCTTTCTGAGGCATTTACAACTTTTGAGAGCATAACTGTGAAAATATCTCAAACAATCGTTTTTGTAAGTAGGCTATGACGAGACATTGAAGCGTGCAGTGTAGAGGTGTAGTATTACCTGGTGGTTTCCGTGGTAACAACGAATGTCTTGTACTCCCATTCTTTCCGCAGTATACTGGCATGTACCCGGATGGAGCCCTGTAATGTGAATACGGAATAGTTTAATGTTTGCTGTTCACATTGGAATCTGTATAGGGTGTGTCAGGTGTATGTAGAAATGAAACACTTGTTTTAAATTGGCAGACACGGATTTGTTATTTTCGTACACAATATTCCCGCTATAAAAACCAAACATCGTGGGAATGTGAGTGAAAGAAACGTAAACCTAGACAATATGCCAAGCTTTAAATGAAAATTTGTCACCGGCCTTGATTCCAGACTAGGACCTCTCACAAGCTCGAAATTTGTCCTTCAGCGCAAGGTTAGTGAGCAGCTCCCCCCCCCCCCTCTACCCCCCCCCCCGCAAAATTCCGTGCCACCGCCTCTGTACTTTGGGTGGCAGAAAAAGTCCAAATTATTGATTTAATAATTCTCTCTAAATGTTAGTTTACCCCTGTAAAATCTTTCTCTGTCCCTGCCCTCCGCCAGAATGTGTATTGGTCATCCCTTAAACGTGGTATGTTGTGAAATATTCTCTTCATTCTTCGCTAGACACGTACAAACAGTATTTTCAGCGTAAACAAGTTAATTTATCAATCATTTACAGAATAGTGTATGTATGTACACATCCAGTCAGAATGTAACATATATTTAGGTCGATTGTCACTACACACAGTTCAGGTTACGAGGCCAGTTTCCATGGAAACGAAGGTACATTATATCTACCCCAGGTGGTTTGACATAATAGAGGTAAATATTACTGTCTCTGATTTCAACGCTAAATATTTTGTTTCTATTTTTACATGCGTCTGTATTTTAAATAGCCTTGGGGAAATTAGATATTGAAGTTTGTGGTATTTGAATAAAAAAATCTTTTAAAAATGTAAATATCAAAGTAATATTGTACACATGATTGTTTGATCGAAATGCATTATGGGAAAATATAGGAGCGTCGCTTGATTAAAAAAACTAGTTCGCCCTTGGCATAGCCACGTGTATCTGTTTTCGTTTACATTTATACCATTGTTCCAGGGGCTCAGTTATCATTGGACGTCTTTCACACTAACCGGATATTGACAAAACATTTGCCATTCAAGCACCTGAAAAGACGAAAACACGAGTGTTTGCAAACTTATTGTGTAAGTGTCCCGTTTCACACTCGACTTGGTGTTGTTTTCGACGTCGCTATCCATTGGTACAAAATCTACCTCCTTTTCACTCGACTCGACTCCCATTCTGTGTCGGTTTCAATGAACGACAAAGAGACTTCCGGAAGTGCTATGAATAGTATCAATAATGAGCGCACAATGTGGATTAAACGTTTATTGTGGAGTATTCAAGTAGGCGCTCTTTTCAAGCATACACTTGTGTATAAAAAGCGGGAAGCGAATAACTAAACAGTTAATTCGACATCACAGTGTTCACTATATCCACCAGCTGTCCTATCACAATGCGACTTTTTATTCGACCGCCCTGTCCTCGAAGATTCATTGAGTTCATAACTGGGTCAGTGAGTTGACAAGATTCCGATTTTGTTAATGCAGTCAATACACGTGTGTGTGCGAACGTATCTATTTTTCAGAAAGGCACGTCGGGTAGAATGAAAACAGGGTAGTTGTTAAACTGATATACAATATTAAAATTATTTTGAAATGCTAAAAAATTCTCACAAATTATCGAATTATTACTTGATATTTGTGTTCCCATGTTTTGAATCCAGTAAACTAAACAGCAAACCCGGTAAAGAATTGCGACGTCACTGGCGCGGCGTGGCCGGGATATAATATTCAGTCGCTTTGCATAGGTGTGTGCATTCCCTGGCATTGATAATGTGCACAGTGGATGTGCAAAAACGGGAAGATGTACTTTTGAAAAGTGGAACGTACTTCATTCTTACTTCTGCATTTATTTTGAAATGAACTTCTCAAATTAAACGTTTTAAAGAGATTTAAGAGAAGAGATTAGTTAAAATTATTATTATGAAATGGTGATTTAAAATTGATAATATCAAAATTAATATTAACACATCGTCCTCTGCTGAAAACAACATAACATCAGCTGGTGATGTAGTTGTATACCAAGAATGGAAGCGGATGAAGCTTTTCTTTTTTCTTGGACTCATGATACAATACATTGCTAAAAAAAAACGTCCCTTGAAATAACCAGATGTGTCAGCACGTCGCTAGTCAGTGTGATCACTCGGCGCATAATTATCGAAAGACGGTAAATACTATATGGTCTGTTTATATTACTTTCTGTGTACGTGCAATTCTGTCATCAACACAAGGCATCGCTATCAGCGTGGTGATTAGTGGCCCTGGAACTATATGAAGGAGTTGTGACTTAGCGCCGGGTGATCGATGTCCTGCACGCCAAACCAAATCTTCAAGCACGCTCAATTACGATCAAAGTAACGCTTGGTTTAAGATGGAGGGCGGAAATGCAATGTTCTCCGTGTCAACCGCCTATCATGGTGTTTAGGTGGTCTATGTGTGAGAAAGTAAAATCGTTTTACAGATACTTCCTCTATATATCAACTACCTGTTGATTTAACATGTCATATCCAGAACCCGCGGCAGATCACTGACACGCACCGGTGGCTGTCTTGTAAAGGACCGAGGTAAAGAACCTCCCGAGTTATGTCATATTATGCTCGAGGAATATAAAACACCTTATTTTGGTTTCTAACGCGTTTCTCTTTTTTAAGTCTATAAATATATCGAGACTTGAAAAAGCAAATTAGCTGTGCATGACCGTGAAGCGGAACAAGTATTTGGAGGGATTCCGACGGAGAGCAAGGCTGGAAGGTTTTGTAAACACATTTCAGTTTAGGTGGTGTGTTGGTTCGCCGAAGTGGAAGAAGGGGCCTTTATGTGTGCGTCGGTTGTGAATAGTCTGGTGCTGGGGCCCACGAAGTGTGTACAATGTTTGGTACCAAACGAGCCAATAAAATGCTTACGCAATACTCATGTGTACTCACTGACAGTGTCGAGCGAAAACGGTTCTTTTTTTAAAAGTCACGGTGAAAGTTGGCATGATTGTAAGACGTGTAAGACGCTATAAACTGGGAACTGGGAGACAGATGTAACAAACGCCGTTCGTTTTTGACGTAAAGGTACTCACGCAGTTATCGTTATTTTCCCATACCGAGTCGTCCGCCTGGGCGAGGGAAGGCAGTGACTTGGATTTCTTGACGTCTCGGTACGTGGTACAGTGTTTCAACATCGTCCCGGTGAACAAAATTGGAATATTCAATCTGTAGAAACTGCTATTAAAAATCCGATTCAAGTTAAAACCGTAATTGGACAAGCCGCGTACGGGAAGGCATGTCACAAACCAACAGCTATCGGGAAGTGAAACGTAAACACGCCACTAACACAGAACCCACTGGTCATTGGAATTAACTGGTTTGTTTGACGGTACCAAAATATACAAAGAAGGCGGGAACACTTCCCTTTGTCGTAATGTAAATTCCTTTATAGTGACTAACAATTGAATGAATATGTATTCAATTGAAGTCCATTCATATACCTGAGCACGACCTTTGACAAATTAGAAAACCAACTCATTACACTACTTCCTTTGCGGTGTGGAATCATCAGCCTCGTTCAGGATCAATTTATTTGTCTCGGCAAAACTGGTTAAAACACCGTTCATTTTGAACTGCTTACTTTTAAAATAACTTCCACTATACTTGTTCCATATCAAGGACAAAACATAGAATCGGTCTGTAAACACCTAGAAAATACCTAGTGCATGTACCAACGAACATAGAACACACTGTCGACCAAGAGATGGCCTAACGTGACCCGAACCTTCAAGGTATTTCCAATTAATACGGGACTGAAGCCAGCGAGGAGATTTACGATCGAGGTGTCACCGAGCGGATACAATTTGTTTAAGGGCATGTGCGTACAACTGTATGGTCCTAAGGCGTTGACAAGACTATAGTAAAGAACAATTTGTTTTTTTTATTGCTCTGTAGAGGTGACGAGGGCAGTAAATAAATACATGATGTTAGCGAGTGTACAGGAAACTCATCATATTCCTATCAACGGTAAAGACGGTCATGGTGGGCGTATAAAGACACACTGAAAATCGTCGCCTAATACACTCCCAATACACACAAATACTTTGTGACTGACGAAAGTGGAAACACCACCCCGAGAGTCACAATAGTATACGAGTCCGACCAATCTACGCGCTGCTGTTGTTATCGTCCAAGACAATTAAAGGGCGGTGGTCGTCGCGTCACGCATGTGCGAGATATATGGGTCTCATATAGACAAAGATGGCGAGATCAACGAGTACAAACTTTCCGACTTTACCAAGCTTTAATTAGGTATTGTTTAGGTGATTGGAAAGTATTGAAGGAGTCATCGGCGGTAATTAGTGCAAGTCGCGCCCATGTCAAACCTCATACTTGTGATTTCCATTAGAAGAGCGCATTGGATTGTGGGAAAATTAATAGTTTATCAACACATATGTCGCACATGCGCAGCGCGACGACCACCGCCCCTTTAACAGCAATGAGTACGTCTCCAGATTTTACACTAAGAAACATGTCATAGACATTTAGCTAATTTCCATATTAATAATAGTTTTACCATCGTTTTAAAGTAAAAATTTCCAGTAACCAAACACCCTTAACATTAACAGTTCTGGTGTTGATCATTCAAATAGCTTATCGTTGGTGGCTCGCTATTTAACTACAGGAGTGTGTGAAACCTCATACTAGTAATATTTTGAGGTAAAACAACTTACAATACGCATGATATTCTTTCAGTCAATAGAATAGCGGGATGAGACGGAGCCGAGTTAAGAAATTATTCAAGGAGTAGTGTCGTTGTGGAACACCTGGCAATGTTCATACAAATGCCATACAAATGCTAACACGATCACTGCGTAAGAAACACTGTCACTCACACGTATGTGTACGAATTGTAAAAGGCATTATGGGATACTAGTAGTTGGCACCAGGGCGAACTATTTACAAGCCATCATATGATTTGCACACTGAACACGTTGCTGTAGACTGTGAAAGCTAGACAACTTCCCCGGGGACGCAATCAAATCAGTCGACAAAACAGTCGATAACGTCCAACGTAATAAAGCTGCATTGGCCTGTTTTGAGTAATTGTCACATGGCATTTTACTCTGTGCTCGAATACCCCTATAAAACCAAAGACCATGACCTGCGGTAAAACGCATGACTGCGTTCAGTTAGAGTGAACCATTCATTATTACAGCCAAGAATAGAATTATATCTGCGCTCATAATATACGTGCCGTGGTAATTATAACGGAAAACAATGTGATTACTAATTTTCAGCACGACTGACTCATTTATTTTGACTTAGCATCTTGTTAAGAAAAAGAAATTTCGACTCAGTGAGCTTAATGTGGAAGTACTTTTTGACCACAATCCTTCTGTGTTCTGACCTGTTAAACCATTTATTGGTATCCGGTTATGTTCGTTCACTGGTTCGTATGTACAACCTGGGTATACAACGCACTAAACGACTACAAATGTATCAGGCCTCCACGTGTTTCCCAGCCAAGTAGTTTATAGACAGTTATTTAGGAAATGTTTGACTATTTATTACACGACTGGTCACGAACGAGGCTGAATCAAAATCACAACACCCATAGATGGCGTACTGAAAATTACTTGGAAGTTATTTTCGCTATTTCGCTGAAAGAATAAATCAGTATAAATAAAATCCCTTTCATCCTACATTTTACATTCAACTCATCAAAAATCAGTGAAAATAAACTTCATACACTACAGCCGAAATGACTTTACAGTGAAAATTAATTCCAGCTATTTCACACGTGACGGTACAAAATCGAGCTGATATCGGGTTGACATTCTGATGAGAAATACATCACTGAAATCACTTGTTTGCCTTTTTCAATGTGATAACTTATGACATTTCTCATGACTCGTGGAATTAATTTAGTATTTACGTGTTGACGCTGCAGCTCGTGGACAGGTGCAGTTCAATCATACCGTTATATTTACATCACTGCCTGTCGCTGTCAGACCAGAGTAGACAATGTTCAGGCACTTATTTTCTGTGTTGAACATTTCAGCGATAAAATGTTATTTTATTAAAATGTTTGTAGTTTTTAAAATAAAACAAGGTGAAAATTGTTTTATGCCTAAAACACAGACGATTTTTCAGCCCGCCCCAAAAAAATAAATAAAAAACGTGGCGTATGCATAAAATAGGACAGAAAAGATACACAATTCAAAGTTGCATATGTACTAAGTGACGAGAAATCGTACAAAACATATCGTTCCAAAACAAAAAAAATACACAAAATAGTAAAAGTGAATGAATGGGATACACATACACTGATTTGAATTTAGCACTATAAAACCGAGAGGTGCTCGTGCGTATTTCCAACCAATGGCATCACAGTAAATATGCATGGCCGCAGATCGGCCAATACGAGACTCACAAGCAGCGTCCAGGAGGTCTCGATGTCTGTGAATTCAACTGAGTAAATCCCGCTACAAACATCGATGATTACAAATATTTGGCATTTGTCCAGTAATGTAACGTGAACACAATAACAAAATATTAAATGCACAAATATACACCAAATATAAATCATTCAAAGTGTAGAAAGACACATACATATAAGTTCATGATGGTTCGCGGAAGTTCCAGTCATATGACTTTCAACACCATTTTCGTCCGGACTTTTCGGTACTCACAAATTACAAAAAAAAATTACTGAACCCTTTAGAAATTAGTGATGTTTGCAAACAAAACAGTATTATCCCATTAGCTACAAAAAAACTAAAAAATATGTTTGAAAAACACTGCACAGAAACAATGCACAATGACAATAAAGGCACTAACCACAAAAATAAACTTCGTACCTACAGACAGCTGAAAACTGATTTTGCACTTGAAAAATACCTTGAAATTATTAAAAAAAAAAACCATCCACAGATCATCTATGACTAAACTGAGGATAAGTGCCCACATACTTCAGATTGAAATTGGGTGATATCACAACATAGATATCTTAAATAGAACATGCCTTGTCTGTGACTCCAATGAAACTGAAGATGAAGAACACTTCCTCTTCAATTGTAACCTGTACAAATTTGAAAGAGAGGCTTTGTTTGAAAACTTAAACTTATCCCGTAATCTGAAAGATTTTCTCAATAACAAAAATTCTGAAACTGCCCAAGCAATTGCCAAGTTTATCAGCGACTGTTTCACTAAAAGAGAAAACTTCATGAAAAGCAATTTACCAGCTGCCTCAAAATAACACCAAAAAATATTTATATAATAATAATAATATTTTTACAGTATTACTATTTATTTATTTCCTTTTTTTATTATTATTATTACTTATGTATTTTATTGTTCCTTATATCCTTATTGTGTTCTAATCTAGATCCCAGAGGGGATACGATATCAATAAAGATTGTTATTATACAACTTAGTTAATAGTAACTAAATATAAATATGGCGTGCTTTTAACCATTGATGTTAGTGTGCCAATGTTTTTTATTGCAAGACAATGAATATCATACTGAATTCACATTTGCCGCACTGACCTAATACGTGCGCCTGACTGAAAGGTCCGCCTTCTGCAAAACGCGTGTCCAAAAAGTCCGAAGGCGTAAATGGTGGTCGAAACTTCATATATTATTTTATTTCGTGATAGACCAATCCTCGACAGGATATTTCCCTCAATAATGACGATGTGATGTATTTTTACTCGCATTGTTGTAAAGCAACAGCCCTAAACGTATCCGAAACACGGGAAACGGATATGTAATTTGTGCCGATACCGGTGGGGGTTATGGGCTGGAAAAAAAAATAGGAATTTGGTAAATTGTTCAATAATTTGGTACAGAACAAGTTCTAGGCTTATTGACGGCATTGGGGATATGAGAGCTTAGGCCAACCCCATTCGGGACAAAAGCTTCCCTATACGAACAATGTCGGACAACCTAAAGTCAGAACTAAACCTGAGGCCAGACGTACCCTGGTTTATGTGACGCTATGGAGTTGTTCTCAAAGTTCGGACCATGGAGTTAAACACCGCATCAATATACACTTCTTTCAAGTTTCTCAGACCATTCATTTAGTAATCTGAGTTCAAAGTGGCCGCGTAGTGTATTAAAACACTTTGAAATATCTGCATGTCATTTTAGTGGTTTTGACAAAATACACGAATTAACTGAATATTAATTTAGCTAATTCGCCAACAATCTCATTGTCAGAATTCGTTTTTAGGGTTAGCTAAATTAGCTAAAAAGTCATGTTTTACATGTTAGACTGTGATATCGTATTTCAATGAACGCGTATCGAACTTCTGCATTTTAAGAGATCCTACCGAGTGCAACAGGGCATGAAACTGGCGGAAAGTTATCCGAGGTGGAACGTTGTAAAGTCGCAGGGTCACGAGGAACCACAGTCCACACAAGTTGCGCCCTCTAAAGTATCCGCTTCTGTGACTCAAGCATCGGGAGAAACGTTTGCTTTGTCATGGCGGAATATACAAATATGTCAGTTTCTGAAGTTTGCTGATATTGGACAGAAGGGAATTTTATTTTTGTCACGTCGATTGCGATTGGTACACCCAGAAGCACAATGTCACGCGTACATATTTAAGTTACACCCCATATCCGGCTAGTGCGCGCAAACTGGGGGATACTAAACATGCCGATACTAAAGACTAGTAAATATGACGGCTCCTTACATTGAATAATTGAACATATCCAAAGCGAAATCCAATGAGGGCGCCCTTATAAACAAAAACATAACCTTGAGGCGAAAAAAAAAAACTGTCTTTTTAACATAACCTGGAGGCGAACAAAAAATGTCGATTTAACATAACCTGGAGGCGAACAAAAAATGTCGATTTATTTTCCAAAGCACGGGCTATTTTATCTTTAAATTGTCAAAAAAAAATTGTGTTTTTAATTTCACTTCACCTAAATATTTTAAAATGAAATAAAATAATATTTTTCTTTCTTTTATATTAAACTAGAGTATGATATCTAACCACATTTTACTCTGCAAACAGGAAAACAAAAACTATCAGAACTATGATGTACTTCTTTAATCCTCACACCATGCATGCACTAGAAATGGTTTCATACTAACAAAGCTGGTGAATTTGTTGCACAGATCAATGTATATTAAATAATTACACTGTAATCTCGTTATAACAAGCTATTTGGGAGACATACAATTAGTTCGTTATAGTGAAATGTTTACTATATTGAAGCACATAATACATTGGGTTTGTTGTGAGCGGGAGACATGCTATGTGTTCATTTTATCAGGAGATTCATTATAAAGGTGTTCATTATATTGAGGTTACAGTGTATTGGAATGGTTTGAAATGCATTAATGAAAGAACACACACATGCAAACCAAATTAATTTTTTATAAAAAAAAAATCAAGTTTATTAAGTACTATACAAGAAATATATACAAAAGATACATATAAAAATAAATTGTTAGAATCACACTGCTGTATGTTGTAATAGTTACAAGTAATCATGATAAAAACATAACATTTCTGTAAATGTGTAAAACTAGAATCTGGTTATCACTGATTTAGTTAAATTTGTTTCTTCTACTTAAATTTAAATTCCAAATAAAAGGCCTATTCTTGGGAATGAACATCCCGGAAGTTTTTACCACCTGGCAACCATCACTGATGAAAACAAAAGGTAAAAACTACCAGGAAACATTATATCCAACTACATGTAGTTGTTAAGACTCTTTGAAACAGTGTAACAAGACAACTCCCAACAAATGCGCATAGCCCATAGAAATACATGGTAAAGTATGCCCAAGCACCAAAGAACGTTCTGTGACATAGCTCCACCGCCAGGAATATATTGATATTTTAACAAAATTGGCAAGAATTTGTACATGATTCTAATCTGAAGATAAATGAAGAATACAAACATATAAAGTATTTTGAAAAGACTGAGAATAAAACGACTACTTTAATTCTAAAATTGAAATTAAAAAATACATTTTTCTTTTAAACTAGTATACTATGTAATCACATCTGTATTGTAATAAACTGTGTACTTTATATATTAATATATTCTAATTTAGATAAAACAAGCCATGCATGGCACAGTCCCCGTTAGTTATCCAATTTAATGATGTATAGTTTTGTTTATAGTAGTATGGATGGAACATAAACATGTCAGAGATATGGATCCAGAAGCTGATGTTTGATTATAATTTTTTAACATTCAAATGACTAACACTCGGTCATTTTGTATCTGATCTTCAAATGAGAACTTGGCCATATTGAGAGATATTGCTCTGGAACAGCATAAATTAAAATAAAAGGCCACCAGTTGGCCATTTTGAACGGGATAGTCAAACCATTAATTAATTAACCATTCATTAAAACGAAATGGCCACAAATCAGCTATTTTGAATTTGATCTGAAAAACAAAATGAAGTGTATCAAAAACCAATGATGTCTAATGTATGTACCAATTTTGAATGAACTTCATCCATAATATGAAATGCTTGATTTTTTTGATATTTTTTTAACACAAAAATGGCCACCATTCGGCCATTTGAATGTATGTACCAAGTTTCAACAAAATCCATTTGTAAAAATTCGTGATCCGCTTCCGGAATGCCAGAATGCTTGATTTTGGTGGTTTTTCAGCACAAAAATGGCTACAATCCCGCCATTTTGAATCAGATCGTCAAACCAATAAATCTGTACATGATGTATAATATATATACAAAATTTGAACATAATCACTCAAAACATGTCAGAGATATGGCATGAGAACTGCATTCACTAAAACAAAATAGCCGCCAATTGGTCAGTTTGAATCAGATCTGAAAAACAAAATGACGTGCATCAAGGACCTATAATGTCCGATGTATGAACCACGTTTTAATGAAATCCATCTGTAAACCGTGTTCGAACCAGGGCTAATAAACAAATAATACAATGCATAATAAAATAATTTATTTGTTGAGATATTCTCAATGCGGCCATTTTTATGGCCTGGCAACCACAGCCAGTTTTGAGCTACTAGTATTTGTTGAGACTCTAAATAGTATAACAAGATTATCCCTACATGTTTGACATATACTGTAAAAGGGTTAATTATTCGCTGGGTTTTTATTTCGCTTATTTCGCTGACTGGAAAATGCGCTAAATTAAAACCCAGTGAATATGTAAAAATAAGCATAGAACACATTATCTAAATGATAAAACCGTGAATTTAAAACACACTGAATATGACTGAAATGCTAAATCAGTGAAATTTAAACCCAGTGAATATTAGTCATTTTACAGTATAAATTTGGTTATTCAGGATTGTCTCAAAGTTGAGTTTGTTCGACGGCAGCTCGCACAGAGTCCATAGAAATACATGGTACAGTGGTGCATATCTTAGCAATGTAGAACATTCTGTGACGTAGCTGTGCCTCTAGGAATAAGGTATCACAATGTTCAGAACTAAAACTATATGTATATCTATATAATACGGATATGCAGATCTTTTAAAAATGTAAATATGTAAAAAAAAATGCTATTCAAAAATCATCAAAATGTATCATGTGCTCAGGCAAGACTGAATGGTAAAAAAATCATACTCATATTTACAAATGCATGCGCAGAAATATTATATCTAGTTGCAAGTTATATTCACAGGATTGAAATAGACATATAAACAAAGAGATAAAAATTACATGATTGAGGAGAAGTACAAGTAAAATGATGATAATATACACCCCTAATTGCAAAATACATTCTGCAATAGCAGAATACATTTTGTAGTACTGATGCAGTTTTTCTTTTTTATATGACATCATGAAATTAGTGTGACGCCATTGTGACAGTTTAATTAACAAGTTTTATATTCACTCTCTCATGAGTAAACATTATCACATCTTTATAAATGAAGAAATATATTTGATATGAGGTAAATTAAGTACATATAAAATCACATCATAGCAAAAATTTAGTTGCTTTTTATTTTATAGAAATGAACAATGTAAGATTCTGTGTCTGCATGCGGAGAATAAAAAAAAAATTGTCACACAGTGAGTTTAATCACAAAAACTATATTCTATGTTTGTACATGATATGGCTGTGTGACCAACTAGCTTCCACAACACCACTGTCCTGTTTGACTGTGGCACTCTCGACCAGGGTAGATGTTATTTTGGTGTACAATCTATTGTAGGATTTAAAAAAATGATTCATCAGTCATAAAGCTCTGAAGTAACATCCACTATGCTACCATTCATCATTGGGTATGCAAATGTTAGAAAGGAAGACATGCATTAAGTTTTTAAAATATTATATTCTGTAATATCATACATGGTAATATCTTATAGTATTCTTAACTGAATTAATACTGGTGTGATGTGGTATATACAAGACTTTCTTGGGTATATTCTGAGTTGAAAAAAAGTCAAAATTAAGTAATCCATCATTACATGCAGCTACATAAATATCGTGGAAGATACTCCTTGCATTTGACCACGTTGTCATCTGTGTAGATTATAGGAAAAATGATCCGCACTGGCTTCTCTGCTGTTAGCAAGGGACATGTGTCTAAAGTCTTCATCTGAAATCAACAAAATTAATAAACATTCATGTCCTCTCATTACTAAGCAACAAATAAGAGCAAATAATTTCATAGAGGGGGCTATAACTGGTAACACTGTTGTCAATAGAGGGCGCTTTAACAAAAATCTCCACAGTCAACAAGCTGATCAACTCAGGTCAAAATCCTAATGGATTGCGTCTTCAGGTGAGTAAAGAGTGGGGGATTAGAAATTGATGGAAGAAGAAGAAGAAAATGTGCAAATTATTTGTTTTCTTCACTTAGTTTTTGGCTGAATTATTTTTGAAGATAATGATACAACATTTTTTAAGAATTATTCGCTTGGTATCAGGTGTACAGAATTGTTTTGCTTATCAATTCCTGTTTTTTATTTCTTCCTGTGCAGACACTGATTTTTAACAATCTACCCAGAGAAATGTAACTACTAAAGTAAGGCATTGACCAAAAATGGCAGTAGAAATTGTCAAAGAATGTCTCATATCAAAACATTGGATAAACAGACATACCGGTACATATGTACTACCGGTACCTATATAAGCTTCACATCAGCTGAGTTGAAGGGAGGGGGGTATTTGTTCTACTTTTGCACATCTTCAACAAAGGTACATGCAGTTCAATAATTTGTTTGTTTTGATTGTATTTAAAGTTAGCCAATCTTAGTCCATCTGTCATTCTCTGTATTAGTATTTCAGCCAATATTAGTAACAAAATAGTAAGAGTGAAAAAACTGCAGGTGTCTTTGCATTTCGGATACCACATATAAAGGTGTATTTCAGATATCGATAAAACACAGTGAAAAATCATAGGTGTTCTGAAATTCTGAGAATATATATGAACAAGAACCAATTTGATGGGCACGCTTCGGTTACATAAAGCAGCCAGTATGTGTTCTATTACTCACCAAAGAGTTCTCCCGATTGTGGAGTCCAACCATAGGTATCTCTTCTCATGGAGCTTGGTCTGAGACGTGGACTCCATGGTGGAACATTTTCAGCTTTTCCAACTCCTCTCCTTGCGAGCATTGGGTGATATTGATCAACAGCAAAATTATAAGAAAGAGCTGAAAAACAGTTTATTCAAATTTACTGTAAATCAATTTTAACAAGTTGATTACATGACACTTGTTATGAAACAGTAAACAAAAAGTGAAATGAAATGATGGGCATGAAAGTTTAATTATAATACATCCAGTTTTGTAATTGCAGAATTGTGGCAGTAACATCGACCAGATTTGGAAAATCAACCCACGATTGATTTATCAACAGGCAGAGAACCCAATTACAGATGCCTGGCACGAGAACCATCATTCACAGAGATTCATTAGAAATTAGGATACCTGGGCTTAATAACATGTACCGAGGACAGGAACAACACATGGCTGACAGATATCATCATTCCTCTGTTTAATCTGACACTGTTATACCAAACTTAGAATTGAATATTTAAGCGTTTGGTGGTCTAGGCAGAATGTTATCAAATTAATACTGCTGTGTGAGCAGTCAGTTGACGAAATCAAATCCACTGCCTCCCTGAGATGTGAGGAGAAAAATGATAATCACTTCACCACACACATCCATGCAAAACAATTGATAAAGATATCTGTGTGATGTCCATGTGGGATCAAGTCAGTAACAATAATGAATCAGTAAATTATATTATTATACATCTGTCACCGTAACACTATTTGTTACAGCATGCCGTAATTTTGCGGTATTTATGGGGTATTTTCATCCTACCATATTAGGAAACACGAATTCCAAATATGGAACGATTTTGCGTGTAAGGGTCCTCTAAAAATTAAAAAAAGAAACATGGCTACCCCCAGAATTTGACCGGTCCCCACACAAAGAAGTTCCCTAAATTTGTTCTAAACGTTTTGGATTTCGGCATTCCCCTGATGTATTCCTGGGAAGATAAGATGTAAAATAATAAGGTTATTACGAGGATACTGCAAAGTATGCACCCACGACGATATGTGGTTCGCATTAACCCCCGCTGCACGTCGGTCGATACTCTCGATGTACTGTCTTTGTGCATACATTGCAGCATCCTCGTAATAACCTTATAATATTGAAATGGTGGATATTAAAAGCGGTACACTACCTGCAGCAGATGGTACAAATTTCATGTAATCAGGTCTGATAACTCTTGGTAGCTCTGGATACCATTCACGTGCTATGAGAACCTCACCTAAAAAAGTCAGAATTTGTAACAAGAAAGAAAACAACAGAACATACTGCTGTATATGAAAGTTATTTCTTTGTTATGGATAATGTTTGTTCAAAACCTGATACAGATACAGACTCGATTTTGCATAGTATCTTAATTGGTTCTCCACAAACCCCACACAGTGCGCCCTCTAATCAAATTTAGGCCAGACTTTTTTTATTCCTTGTTTCTCGAGTTTTAATGAGGCAATGTTTTTGAGGAGGGCGGGAAAAAAATAAAATTAATTCTTTTTTTCCATTAGATTTGTGTGATTCTCAACGAATTGTAAGTGAGATCATTGATCGGAGAGAAGAAATGAAATAAAATTTTATTCCATGTATAACCTTGTTTCTCATCTGCGCGAGACTTAGGTACTTTGATCATCATACTCCCACGAAAATGCAACTTGGGTTTGTTATGCGGCGGGCGAAAAAAAAAAATGAAGATAAAAATAAGTTTTTTTAGCAATTTTTTGCACTTACACTTTTTGCACTTTTTGTGAGAAATTACGCTGAAATAAAATTTTATTTTATTTCATTTTCGGCTCCTGTTCATTCGGCGGGTTTGTGAAACAAGGGATAATAAAAGTCTGGTTTAGCAAGCTCTAACATTTTAACCACCAGACTTTCTCACTCAAATTTGTCTACACTTTTTCCTATATTCTGCAATATTTCTAGAAATGAACTGTAATTTTGGAGCCAAGAGACAAAATTGGAATAAATTTTCAGGTTTCACTCAAAAATATTTGCTATTTTTGTCCCAATCTTCTGAAAAGAAGTGCAAACTATAAACAGGATTATATTTGTGAATTTGTGATGAAAAGCGGAAACTGGTGGAGAGGTTAGGCAGATTCCCTAGGACTCCATTGATGCAACATAAAATCATACAGTGACATAGTGATATTGACAAGCAGCCTCTCGGCTGAGATAGCTTTGCTGTTAGCAATGCACATTTCAATTAAAGAACTGAATATATCATTAGAAAATAAACAATATGTATAGTATCAAAGCAATCAGACTTGCAGTTTTTAAACAAGAAGTGAAAAATATCACTTTTTACTAAAAATATTCACTAAAATTAGAGAATTGAAGATATCATCATGAAATAAACAATCTGAGTTAGAACCACATGTAGTACCTATATATATGTAATATCAAAGCAATTGGACTTGCGCTTTTTAACAAGAAGTCGAAAATATCACTTTTTACCCAAAATGGCAAAATTATTCACCAAAATTAGAGAATTGAAGATATCATTACAAAATGAACAAATCTGAGCAAGGTCCACATGTAGTACCTATATATGTAATGTCAAAGCAATTGGACTTGCGGTTTTCAACAAGAAGTTGAAAATATCACTTTTTACCAAAAATGACAAAAATATTCACCAAAATTAGAGAATTAAAGATATCATCATGAAATGAACAAATCTAAGAGAAGTCCACCCAAGGTACATATACACCAAGTATCAAAGCATTCAGGCTTTTAGTTTTCAAGAAGAAGTCGAAAAAGTAAAACATTGACACGGACGACGACGGACGATGGATGACGACGGACAATCACTCATATGATAAGCTCCGCTCGACAAAGTCGACAGCGGAGCTAAAAAAAAGATTACTCCAGTCATGGAATTTGAAAAAAATGAAACTCATGTTTAAAAACAAAATAATTGTAAAAACAAAAGAAAATCAGAGGCCACTTTAGTTTGTGATTTCAGAAGTTATACCTACTACCACACACAATCGTTATTTATCCTTGAAGTGATCTCTTTCAATAGTTAACACGATGACCAACTTAATTATGGAGGATATGTGTACATAAAATGCATTATGCATGGAAATATAGTGAAAGCTCTTCTCTAATGAGATTTGTCCACTAACTATAGAGAGTACCTAACTTGAATGTTCTATACATGGTACACTGTAAATCATAGACACTGATTGGCTATTGATTGAATGAGATGTAATTTGTCCGCCAATCAAAGAACACTAACTAGATTAATC